AAACTCAGGGTAAACATTCATAGAACCGAGACAAGGGGCAGTGGCAAATATTTCATGTATATTTTGAACACAAAGAGGATTACCCCGGTACCCTTTGCCAAACATTATCTTCTTTTTCTTCTATTCGCCAACGGACTTTATGTTATGAATTGTAGTTTCACTTTCCATATTCGGTATTTATTCTAATTTAAGCTCCACGTAGTAAAAATCACGTGATTCAGGAATATAGTATCTTGGAGTTAGACTATTTCTTTCTTTTCGGGCGGGGACTCCAAGCAATCAACATGCATGTGTAGAACGGCACTGTAGATTTTCTTATTAAATAAAAAAAAGTTGCCGGTCCGGTACATGAATAGATCGGTTAGAAATCAAAGTTTTAATTTTAATTAGATTAGAGGGTTGAAAATAGAGAGCACAAAAAAAGTGGGGGTGGGGGTGTTCCACAGTGAATATTTCCTTCTTATGAACTCTACATCTGAAAGGTTTAATTTTTTTTTTATTTAATTGAAAGAGAGAAAAACAAATGTAAGACAAATTGTGAATGGTCTTTCTTCCTTTCTCCCATGCCAAGAAATTGCCTCCGTTGAAATTTTGCAAACATCCCATAGAGCAAATTACATGGATGATTAATTTTGACCATTTGGTATATGGCTGTGTTTTAAGTGAGACGTACACGCGGGTCATAAATTAATTTATTGAATGAAATCAAATCTTTAACTACTAATGGATGCCGTAGGAGGTCGACCGGAATTTTTAGCGAGGATTTCTTGGCATGTAACAGATAGAAAACTCAGGGTAAACATTCATAGAACCGAGACAAGGGGCAGTGGCAAATATTTCATGTATATTTTGAACACAAAGAGGATTACCCCGGTACCCTTTGCCAAACATTATCTTCTTTTTCTTCTATTCGCCAACGGACTTTATGTTATGAATTGTAGTTTCACTTTCCATATTCGGTATTTATTCTAATTTAAGCTCCACGTAGTAAAAATCACGTGATTCAGGAATATAGTATCTTGGAGTTAGACTATTTCTTTCTTTTCGGGCGGGGACTCCAAGCAATCAACATGCATGTGTAGAACGGCACTGTAGATTTTCTTATTAAATAAAAAAAAGTTGCCGGTCCGGTACATGAATAGATCGGTTAGAAATCAAAGTTTTAATTTTAATTAGATTAGAGGGTTGAAAATAGAGAGCACAAAAAAAAGTGGGGGTGGGGGTGTTCCACAGTGAATATTTCCTTCTTATGAACTCTACATCTGAAAGGTTTAATTTTTTTTTTATTTAATTGAAAGAGAGAAAAACAAATGTAAGACAAATTGTGAATGGTCTTTCTTCCTTTCTCCCGTAACAGATAGAAAACTCAGGGTAAACATTCATAGAACCGAGACAAGGGGCAGTGGCAAATATTTCATGTATATTTTGAACACAAAGAGGATTACCCCGGTACCCTTTGCCAAACATTATCTTCTTTTTCTTCTATTCGCCAACGGACTTTATGTTATGAATTGTAGTTTCACTTTCCATATTCGGTATTTATTCTAATTTAAGCTCCACGTAGTAAAAATCACGTGATTCAGGAATATAGTATCTTGGAGTTAGACTATTTCTTTCTTTTCGGGCGGGGACTCCAAGCAATCAACATGCATGTGTAGAACGGCACTGTAGATTTTCTTATTAAATAAAAAAAAGTTGCCGGTCCGGTACATGAATAGATCGGTTAGAAATCAAAGTTTTAATTTTAATTAGATTAGAGGGTTGAAAATAGAGAGCACAAAAAAAAGTGGGGGTGGGGGTGTTCCACAGTGAATATTTCCTTCTTATGAACTCTACATCTGAAAGGTTTAATTTTTTTTTTTATTTAATTGAAAGAGAGAAAAACAAATGTAAGACAAATTGTGAATGGTCTTTCTTCCTTTCTCCCATGCCAAGAAATTGCCTCCGTTGAAATTTTGCAAACATCCCATAGAGCAAATTACATGGATGATTAATTTTGACCATTTGGTATATGGCTGTGTTTTAAGTGAGACGTACACGCGGGTCATAAATTAATTTATTGAATGAAATCAAATCTTTAACTACTAATGGATGCCGTAGGAGGTCGACCGGAATTTTTAGCGAGGATTTCTTGGCATGTAACAGATAGAAAACTCAGGGTAAACATTCATAGAACCGAGACAAGGGGCAGTGGCAAATATTTCATGTATATTTTGAACACAAAGAGGATTACCCCGGTACCCTTTGCCAAACATTATCTTCTTTTTCTTCTATTCGCCAACGGACTTTATGTTATGAATTGTAGTTTCACTTTCCATATTCGGTATTTATTCTAATTTAAGCTCCACGTAGTAAAAATCACGTGATTCAGGAATATAGTATCTTGGAGTTAGACTATTTCTTTCTTTTCGGGCGGGGACTCCAAGCAATCAACATGCATGTGTAGAACGGCACTGTAGATTTTCTTATTAAATAAAAAAAAGTTGCCGGTCCGGTACATGAATAGATCGGTTAGAAATCAAAGTTTTAATTTTAATTAGATTAGAGGGTTGAAAATAGAGAGCACAAAAAAAAGTGGGGGTGGGGGTGTTCCACAGTGAATATTTCCTTCTTATGAACTCTACATCTGAAAGGTTTAATTTTTTTTTTATTTAATTGAAAGAGAGAAAAACAAATGTAAGACAAATTGTGAATGGTCTTTCTTCCTTTCTCCCATGCCAAGAAATTGCCTCCGTTGAAATTTTGCAAACATCCCATAGAGCAAATTACATGGATGATTAATTTTGACCATTTGGTATATGGCTGTGTTTTAAGTGAGACGTACACGCGGGTCATAAATTAATTTATTGAATGAAATCAAATCTTTAACTACTAATGGATGCCGTAGGAGGTCGACCGGAATTTTTAGCGAGGATTTCTTGGCATGTAACAGATAGAAAACTCAGGGTAAACATTCATAGAACCGAGACAAGGGGCAGTGGCAAATATTTCATGTATATTTTGAACACAAAGAGGATTACCCCGGTACCCTTTGCCAAACATTATCTTCTTTTTCTTCTATTCGCCAACGGACTTTATGTTATGAATTGTAGTTTCACTTTCCATATTCGGTATTTATTCTAATTTAAGCTCCACGTAGTAAAAATCACGTGATTCAGGAATATAGTATCTTGGAGTTAGACTATTTCTTTCTTTTCGGGCGGGGACTCCAAGCAATCAACATGCATGTGTAGAACGGCACTGTAGATTTTCTTATTAAATAAAAAAAAGTTGCCGGTCCGGTACATGAATAGATCGGTTAGAAATCAAAGTTTTAATTTTAATTAGATTAGAGGGTTGAAAATAGAGAGCACAAAAAAAAGTGGGGGTGGGGGTGTTCCACAGTGAATATTTCCTTCTTATGAACTCTACATCTGAAAGGTTTAATTTTTTTTTTATTTAATTGAAAGAGAGAAAAACAAATGTAAGACAAATTGTGAATGGTCTTTCTTCCTTTCTCCCATGCCAAGAAATTGCCTCCGTTGAAATTTTGCAAACATCCCATAGAGCAAATTACATGGATGATTAATTTTGACCATTTGGTATATGGCTGTGTTTTAAGTGAGACGTACACGCGGGTCATAAATTAATTTATTGAATGAAATCAAATCTTTAACTACTAATGGATGCCGTAGGAGGTCGACCGGAATTTTTAGCGAGGATTTCTTGGCATGTGTCTGTCTGTCCGTCCGTCAGTCCGTCAGTCCTGTTTCTTGTCATCGCAACTCCTCTCAAACCACACAACACGACAGGAAATTACGATTCAATTTTTTTTCTAGGAGTTACGCCCCTTTGAACTTATTTACTTTAATGTACTACTGCAACAGTTTGTCATCTCAACTCCTCTGAAACCACACAACAAAATTTCATAAAACTTTGTAGATAATAAGGACATACTACGTAGATGTGCATATCGACAGGAAATTACGATTCAATTTTTTTTCCAGGAGTTACGCCCCTTTGAACTTATTTGCCCAATATACTACTGCAACCTTTTGTCATCGCAACTCTTCTCAAACCACACAATAGAATTTCATGAAACCTTTTCAGATAATAAGGACATACTACGTAGATGTGCATATCGACAGGAAATTACGATTCACTTATTTTTCTAGGAGTTACGCCCCTTTGAACTTATTTGCTTCAATATACCTCTGCAACAGTTTGTCATCGCAACTCCTCTGAAACCACACAACAGAATTTCATGAAACTTTGTAGATAATAAGGACATACTAGGTAGATGTGCATATCGATAGGAAATTATGATTCAATTTTTTTCTAGGAGTTACGCCCCTTTGAACTTATTTACTTTAATGTACTACTGCAACAGTTTGTCATCTCAACTCCTCTGAAACCACACAACAAAATTTCATGAAACTTTGTAGATAATAAGGACATACTACGTAGATGTGCATATCGACAGGAAATTACGATTCAATTTTTTTTCCAGGAGTTACGCCCCTTTGAACTTATTTGCCCAATATACTACTGCAACCTTTTGTCATCGCAACTCCTCTCAAACCACACAATAGAATTTCATGATAGCTTTTTAGATAATAAGGACATACTACGTAGATGTGCATATCGACAGGAAATTACTATTCAATTTTTTTTCTAGGAGTTACGCCCCTTTGAACTTATTTGCTTCAATATACCTCTGCAACAGTTTGTCATCGCAACTCCTCTGAACCCACACAACAGAATTTCATGAAACTTTGTAGATAATAAGGACATACTATGTAGATGTGCATATCGACAGGAAATTATGATTCAATTTTTTTTTCTTATACAATTTTTTTTTCTTACAGTTATTTTATTTCTCCAGTGACAATGTGGGGACGTGGGGTATGTGAGCGCGCTCACTAAGGTTCTTTAATTATATTAATTTTTAAGTTGATTTACTTTAATTTATTTTCAAAAGCTCCTTCTAATACCAGCATATTTTTTTGTTTCTTTTTCAGGACTTTGCATCAGATGTCAACGTTTTATATTTTGAAACAAGTGCAAAAACAGGAAAGAATGTAAAAGAAATGTTTACAACTGTGTTAAGAAAAAGTATCAAAACCAAAAACTTTTCAAAGAATATGGAAACTGGAAATAAACTACGAACCGACAACAGAATATCACCCACAACTGACTCAAACGGGTGTAGCTGTGTCTTGTCCTGATAATGAGCAGTGCACGCAATTTATTGGTTTTTATGTGTTATAAAATGGCCCGATATGATTAGGTGTTTATTTTTTTTCTTCTCTGAATATTAGATCGGTTCTGGCAAATAGACCCGTACAAGTATGACAGTATACATGCAGCATTTTATGCCAAAAATACACAACAGTTACAAAATCACAGACGAAGTGATATGCCGACATTTTTTTTTTGGGGTATGTGATGTGCATGTATTTTCTTGGGTGTTCGACACAGGCACTTGTCTATTGAAATTAGTGACCTATAAACTTTAATATATTAAAATCTTTGGTAAAATGATGAACGCGTAGCCTCCTATATGAATTGAGATTAATGACCCAAAACACCATTAAACCTCAAATGAAACCTTCTTCTAAAAATTAAAAATTCAACAACAAATAATCTACCAAAAAATCTTTAAAATCATGTTACATGTATTATCTTATTGAACACGGCAAAACTTCAACAAAAAACATTCAATATGTGATGATAGTACATGTATTAGTATTTTTAAGAGCATGATGGTTTATAACATTCTGCTAAAAATGCCAGCGGTCGTTACTATGAATAGAATGTTTCATAGAAATTTAAATTGGGCTTAAAAAAATTACATGACGACTTGATCAAAAACAAACCTGAAGGCAATTGACGGTAAAACATTTATGATGATATACGTCTGCAACTATCTCTGATGATTTAACACACAAAAATCAAAGAAAAACTTGTAAAAAATATAAAAATAAGGAGATATAGTACGATTGACATTGAGACAATTACTCACTGGAGACAAATGACGTGGATGTAAGCAGCTATAGGTTATCGTACAAACCTATGTGCTGAGTAAATTTCAACTATAAAGAAATAGATGTTTGGTCCCCTTTGATATTCTGGTTGATGACTTCAACTTCTTTCAAACGGTGAATTATTTTTCTGCAATATTTTACACCTTTTTTTATTTTAATTCAGGATTGCTCTCTTGAAATATTTTTTTTACAACCTTACCATCTTGTTTATATCAACTTTCTAATTTCTAATGAAGATAACAAGATTTTCTGTCGGTTTTATCGTATATTATACTATATCTATGTCGTATGTATGAAATGTAATCACACCAATTCTTTTAAATGTTTACTTGGGAAATTGTTCAATCATGTTGATGTCACCGTCTATTGTACTGGGATTTCTCTTTATAAAACTAAATAAAAAAACGTGAGGTATATGATTGTCAATGAGACAACTATTCATAGACAAAGGACAATGATGTGAACAATTATAGACTACCGTACAGTATTCAACAATGAGCAAACCTAAGCTATACAGGACCCTCGTATGACAAAATGTGAAACAATTAAAAGGAAAAAAAACAATTTCCTGATTTATACTACATCAATAAAAGAAAAATAAACATATCAAAGAACAACCAACGAAAACCACTGGACCACAGGCCCGGTTACTTTAAGCACGCTGGTCAAATTAATAGGTTAGTTTTCAAACTATATCGTATTTAAGTTGGGTACACTTCAATTAACCAGAAACCCAATGTAATGATACATATAATCAATAGACATCCAGAATTTGATAAACAGTCTTCAACAATAGACGGGTGTCTAAACAATATACCAAGCACTAAACGTCCAGAGTATAAAGAAGTATTTTAAATAAATAAAACAGAAAAAAGTTCTGTCTACACTATTTAATTATCCATATACTAGTAACCAAAAATATTTTAAGATACCACTAACGATATGTGCCGACGTTAAACTAGTTTTTCATATCTAATTTATCCCATTTTTTTAATGTTGAAAGGTGGAATGAAAAGGCACAGCCTGAAAGAAAATACAACTAAAATCTACACATGAGCACAATCATAACTCTAGAATAACGCTATAACAGATAACAAAAAAAGTACAAACAAAACATTTATAAAGAACTTCAAACCGTAACAAAGAATGCTCATATCTACTAATTCTCAGATAAAATGCTGCCATAAACTATATTTGCTTCACGCTTCGTCTGTAGGAGAGCATTATCCAATACAAACCTTTGTTATACTTTCCCGTGCTTTTTTATCGACCAGACTGCGAATATTCCGTCCAATGTTTTGATTTAAAGCTATCTTTTTCTAAGAAAATGAAAGATTTAGAATAAATTCATTCAGTCATACAGATAAGTATGTCCCCTTAAATTTAGTCTAGCCTTAATACATTGTGTTATGGATGGGTGTATAAAAAAGGCCTGTTCGTGCCACAGATGACCAAGGATATGTTCCAATTGTCGTAACAATACCGTTTTCCTTTTCCTAGATTGTTATATCACTGAATGAAACGTATCATCGAATGTGTACTTACCATGAGCAACAAGTGTCTCTAGTGAACCATGATTTGCTTAAACGTCCAGAGCTCTTGTGGTCATTCTCGGTGTTTCATTTGATTCATGTTGCTCAGTCTTCAATTTTCTGTGTAGTGTTTTGCAGGCTGTTGTTTGACCTTTAGTTGTTTTTCTTTTTTTGCATTTTATTGTCGTTTTTTACCTGGATAACCGACTGTGGCAAATTGTTTTTTCTTTCTTTGTGTCTTTGTAAATGATTGGTATCAACTTAATAAGAATACAAAAACCATTCGAATGTTTGATGAAATATCAATCCACCAACATGGAAAAATAGTCTATGGATAAAATACTCAAGTATTTAATGGTATCGTGTCCTAACAGCACTGTTTTACGAGAAGATGTACTCGATATTTGAGCAGCATAAGAACTATAGTAGTGTTGACTGTATAGATACAAAGATAAGAAGATGTGGTATGATTGCCAAATTAATGAGACAATTCTCCACCAGAGACCATGTATAGGTTAATATTATTGCACAATGCACGACCAAACAGTTTTGATCCGTTCAGATGAAGGATCAAATTTAGGTTCGTCTTGCTTGCGCTTCGCATATTTTCAGCTGGTGTAATCCTTATATTAAATGGTCAGTAACCTGAAATCTTCCCTGTCGGTGATCTAGAACATTTAGTATTTCTGGTCTTCGAGGAACAACTCTCGAGGACAAAACTAGATCAGACGTGAAAATATGTCTTTCGTAAGTTGAGACAGCTACATCGTATTTGTCAACCAATTCAAAATGTGACCGTAAAACTTGTTCATTGTCGTTTCCAGTCTTTCCTCCTGCTACTCCTACTCCCGGAGTATTCGAGGAATTTTACATAGAACTACCATGTGAATCAAAACAGTATAATGTGAACATGTACTATCTAACATATCAATTCATGGGGGTATGCATACTATATGTTACTTCTGAGAAATTAAAAGTTGTCAATGGGAAACTGATATCGTCATTATTATTTATTATTATTATTACAATTTTTCTATAGCGCTAAATCTAAAACAATATTACTCAAAGCGCTTTACATCACATGTTAAACGAAATATACACACAGACAGTGATAAAAATATAAAACATGAACACACAAAATAAATATTTAAGTGTTAAAACTTTTCTAGATAAAAGGATTAATAATGTGGAAATTTTTACAAAAAAGTGGAATATATATATCAATGAATCAAAATAAAATTATACTGAATAAAGTTGGTAAAATAAATAGCCAAAAAAGTCTAAAATAAGATTGCTATAAAAAAATTATCAAATATAAGTTAAAAATTTGAAAACGTATTCAAAAGATGAAAAAGGAATATTACCATGTAAAAATATAATTACTGAAATGAAAAATATGTGTGCTACTAAAAACATACAATGTACATATTATAAATGAAACATATCTCCAGTTAAAAGAAAGGTTCGATAAATCAAAAGCAGGCTAACGTCTATGGCACAATGTATCACAGAAACGAATTTAAGGGATTAAAAATGCTTGTCGAAAAAAGTGAGTTTTTAAGTTCTTTTTGAATACAGGCACCGACTTTGCATTTTGAAGTTTTTTTGGTATTGCATTCCAAAGGATGGCCGCTGCTTGATCAAATCTTCTATTGCCGTAGGTTTTGGTTCGCACATGATTGTCATAGATCCTTGACTTAATCATTCTGTTGCTATTCAATCAATGTGTCTGGTATTATTCGAGACGAACATCAGTTTGCTAATTTATAGTTTCTTTTATTTTTCTACATTGAGATTCTGTACAATTTGTAAAGGGATTGGAAAAGATGATGTCTTCCTCTACTTTTTATTACGTTGTTTTATAAAATCTTCCATAAAATACAGCAATAATTATAATGCTGTAGGACGGCATGACTTTTTATCAGCAGGTTTTATTAATAGTTTTGATAATTCTTTACTTACTCACTTACCTATCCTTTTCATCCCAAATAAGCCATAAGTTTGAAAAGAGCTTCTCCCATTCTTCCCTGTCCTTTGTAATGCTGAGCTTTTCCTAAGAGTACCCAATATTTTGTAGCTCGGCCGCTTCACTTATCCTGCAGGTGGCACGAGATCGGCCTGGATTTCTCTTTCCTAATGTCGTCCAGTTGAGAGCTACTTTTGGTGTTCTTCCAACTGGGCATAGCCATCTCAAACTTCATTTTTTATATCATCTGTAATTTTCTTATAATTACTTCTTTCGAGTTTATTTTTACTCTGATCTTATTCGGACAAACAATTTAGTAAATGCGGAAACATTTTTTGTGGAATGCCTACCTTCAGTACGTCGTTTTGTATAATTTACCAGCATTCTGACCTTTTTTGCATTGCTGTTTAATAGTTTTAGCTCGGATTGATGCTGATGTTTTACAAATAATGAGAGTACTTTCGAAAGTCTAGATTTGATGTCAACTTCATTGCGGGAGCGACAGTGGTTATCTGATGTCATTTCTACATGTTTTAATTAATTTGCAGAATAAGGTGTTCATCCTTTGTGTTATTGTTACAGTTTTTCTATAACTCGTTCACAGCCTTTCTAGACTCTGGGCGATTTAGAGATTTCGTTGAAGAACTCTAGATGTCCCACCGACCGTGCGAGACCATCATGGGTAATCAAGGTCGTTAAATACCTCCTAATAGTCTAGTTGTCTTTCAGTGATTTTCTATGTTGCTGTCCATTAACGTATATACCACATCTCCTTTGGTTCATCAACATATATACAAAATGTACACGAATACAAATATGCATAAACATATATACACTATGTACAAGAGTAAAAAAAGGATTTAAGAAGACAATCGAACTTTTGAAACACATCAGATATGATATACAAATAAGGTTCTCGTCACCCAAGGAACCTATGTCACAAATATCACATATCGTGTCGTCGATTTCGGCTTCCACGAAAACAGTACCATTCAGTTAAAAATCATATGATACATTTTAAGACAATGGCCACATTTAAAACTACTGTATAGTACTTTATTTTGGTTAAATAAACACACTTGCAGAGGCCATTTATGTTTACATTGATCACAGTTGGTGCGTTATATATTTGACAAACAAACATGTTTAGGTACGTATATATTCTTTTGAAATATTATCTGCAGGAAATAGTGATTAAGAAAAAAAATAGTCTCTCGTATCCAAAAGAGAGACGAAAGATACCAAAGGAATAAACTAACTCATAAATCGAAAACGAATTGACAATGTCATCGCAAAAAACGAAAAACGACTAAAAGGCAAACAACAGTATACATATAACACAACATAGAAAACCAAAGACTGAGCAACATGAATCCCACCAAACACCGGGGTTGATCTCAGGTGCTCCGGAACGGTAAGCAGATCCTGCTCCACATGCGTGGCAACGGCCGTGTTGCTCGTGTATGTACAAAACCGATGAAGTCTTATTCGGTAGGTCACATTCGTAGAAAATAGGACGGGGCTCTGGTTATGACAATTGGAACATATCTGTCGTCATCTGTGAAACAGATATTCCGTAATGGTCAACTAACTCGTGATGTCGTCCGTAAAATTTTCAAAGGGATGATTTAAACTTCACCACCTGTAACTCTTGGATAAAAAGCTTCCTTATTAGTACCAACCTTCTTTTAAGGAAATCATGATAAAAAATGTAAGCTCTGGAATATCGTATCAACTAAGAGATGTTTACTCCATATGCAGGTTGGTAAAATTTTGGTAGGCTTAACTGTGTATTCGAGCCTTTGAAGGCTATTTATCATTTAAATAACTACATTACAATTTGTTATAATTTCCCTTTATCATTCCAGAATTAACAATGCTAAAAAATCAAACAACATATATTCGTTGTCGACCCTCCACTTTTCTTTTCGACTGGAACAAAAATTGCTTTATTTTGCATTCACGCAGTAGTTTTAAAGGGATTGAATAAAACAGTTTTTAATAGCAGATATAACTATCAACGCGATAATGAACATTCCGCACGTTTTTTCGGAATTTTCGATTATTTCTCTCTGCATTCAAAATTTAGAGGGAGAAGTCGTTAAACTTTTCCGAACGTTGGAAAGTTTTCCCGTAAAATGTCACTGGGCGACAATTGGGGAAACACATTTTCAGTAACATTTAAAAAAAGTTTTCTGTAAATTAAGAATGGTATTTTTTTTTTCAAAATGAATAACGAAATCCGACTGATGTAAAAGAAAATATTGAAAAATGACAAATTTAACCACCGAGTGGAGCGAGTCAAAAATATTTTGGACAATTCTATGCATACAATGATATTTTTTTCGATCAAGGGGCGTGCGCCCTAGCTACCTCTACGCCCCCTTTTGAAACCGCCGCTAATTAAATGCAAAGGAGTAGGTCCGGTAAGGTCCGATTTTGGCCTCAAAATTCAGGTTCATCTGATGAAAGATTTTGGACACTTTTTAAACACTTAAGTATCTACTTCAGTCGATTCAATTAGTTTATGTGAAAGATTTGAACTGATTTAGTCATTAAAGACACTCAAGTTCAAGCTTAAATATGAAAATTCTATCAAATATGCCATAATATGTCACTTTTCAGATGGTTTTTGTCAAAAATGAAAGTGGCCGCATCCGTGTTCATTCTCAACCTTTATATATGTTATGTATTATCATCAAATACAACTTACATTCAAATATTAAGAATGAACACAAATGCGGCCACTTCCATTTCAGACGGAAACCGTCTAAAAATTAACCAAAATGCTAAAATTTCGAAGATTTCAGTAATTTAGCATGACTTAATGATGCTAGTACCCGATGCATGTGCATTGTATTGTCAAAAACAGCCCATATTTATGTAACAGAAGTATTCTTCTTTTCAATAAATAGCTAAAAATTTACATTTAAACAATTTTGTAAAACTGCTTTATTTTGGGACCAAACAGGGGTCTTACCGGGCCTACTCCTTTAACATAGCCGTTTAATAAAACCAATTTTGCTAATTTCCTACTTTGAAAAATATCAATTCAAGAAATCTCTTATGTGATTGAAAATCCCAATTTTCTCGATCATAAATTGAATGTTACCCGTATGGAGCCTCTCTTCATTACCGGAAATGAGCGCCGCCTAACGATCGAAATACGCATCTGATGAGTCTTGAACCGTGATAAACAATGTAAAACCGGTAAAAAGTGATATTCAATAGTTATGGCTGGTAGCATTCATGAAGGGCCAGAATTTGGCATTGGAGACTTTGTTCTTCTTCATGATGTCACGCTCGAGGCCTTCATGGATAATTTAAAACTCAGGTAAATATATCATTTGTTTTTGTTGGTACACCTGACAGAGTGGCGCGAGTACCCAATACAGGTAATATTTTTTAATAAGAAAGTAGGATTTTTTTAATTAGATGTGTCCGTATTAAGAAATGCAAGATTTTTTTATGATTGTTTGTAACGTTGAAGTACAACGACAGTCCCAAATTGGATGCATATACTATGTATATATGGTCTGTATAAACCGACTGGGACCGCTCGCCCGAATGAGACACACACAGTGTATCCGGTTGGGAAGATCCTCATAATTTGATATCTCCAATTATGGTTATAAAACCCCTTCATCACATATTTGTACTGAGAAAAAATTGGGTTTGCAAAGGTTATAAAACTACACTGCAGAATTGCTATACATTTATCCTTGTATTATCGTTTTTTGTGTTATTAAGAACGCATTGTGACGTCAAAATTTCTGTTGAAACAGCAAGCATAGTACAAATTCATATGATGTAAGAAAACATATGATCTGACCACAGGTGTAACTTGCCCAGGTCAAATAACTGGTAACTTTTCCCCATTCTCAATGATGTCAAGTGTAACATCAACAGCTGATGAGAAAGATGCTCATTTTGTTAACATGGAGCAAAATCAATCATCAAAATTGTAAAACAAATGAAAAACACTATAAAAACTGACCATACTGACATTGACATTATAATGTTCATGGACTATATAGTTCGGAAATGTTTGGGAGCATTGTAATAATGAAAACATTTAAGTGGAAGGAAAGAGCAAACCTTTTAAGCAATTGAAAAATTATTTGGTAAATAGATTATAAATTGACCTTTTCTATTGGCCCCAGTATTATCCCTTGACTCATGTGAGCTCTCCGCTTGGGCCAGGGGCTGATATGGAAGTCTCGGCATGATACTAGACATGCCAGGGCCTATATACATGATACAATGCACATGTAGAAATGGACATGTTATAACCCATAAATATCAGGAATTGATTTACAGAATAAATATTCAAATTAATTATTTCATGATAGTTTTGCCCTTTAAGCAGTGTTCTCCTCAGAAATTTCTAATATCATCCTGGTAAACAGGAAATTATGAAATACCATCTTGTTTCTAGAAACTATAGCATCACATACATTTCACTATCTATATTAAGAAACAAATTTCAGATACATGTACATGTAGCATCACATTACCATGATGCTAAAAGGCCCTGGAGAAAACAGGGCTTTAAGACCATAGTTGTAAAGAGAACTGAATAACAGTGAACAGTATAAACAATTTCAATTTTTTAGGCTATTTACTTTCATCCAGATTATATTTCAGCCATAGTGTCTTGGGGGAGGGATGTTGTCTTTTACATCAACATGTGCACCATAACAGATAACATCCTATAATCCAAAGCACTTTAAAATGATTCCTGGTTCTGTATCCGTATTTATATTCAGTGAAAATTTAAAGCTCATCAGAGCTTATGTTAATATACATTGTACCTGAACAAATTCAAAGAAAATTGTCTAGGTCTATAGTGACTTGAATCAAAATAAATTGAGGGTATAAATAGCTACCAGTGCATCTTGCTTTTTCAGCTCTTATGAATTATAGGAATACTTCCACGACGGTATAAAGAATCATGACAAGGTATAATTGTCCATCACACAAGGTTCATGAGACATTGACCTCATTTTCATTTGTAAATTTGATAATCATGATAATGTTATAAGGTTATGTGATACAATACATGTATCTATAGCAAGACCTTAATCTTAAAGACTTTCAACTCAAAATTTAAACATAGTCAGAAAAGAAGGGAAAACATTTTAGAATGCATGTGCACTTTTATTGATATTTATACATTGTATACATGGTATATACATGTACAGGGATAACCAAAGAAAAATTTTCAAGCATGGAGCTTATGAAAAATATTTTCTATTGAACAATGTCTAGAAATTTTATACTTTAGCAGTTACAATATTCTTAAATACATGTATACCATGTATACAGTATATAACATTGTATGTGTGGACAAAAATATACGTATCTGAATGATATACATTTTTGTGCATGTACATGATAAACAAATAAAAATTTGAATACAGTCTTTCAAAATCAATGAACATTTTTCTGATAAAGATATATTTTCCATACTTATCTCATATAATCTCAAAATTTAAAAGTTTATGCTGAGTAAATTAAGATTGGTGCTAAAAAATTGAAGGGTGGTGCAGCCTTATATATAATAAATTTCTAGAGCAAGATTTTCTTTGAAGAAATCTCATGAATGCTTTAAATGTTGACATTTTACACCTACATGTACATGCAGTTAAAGGTATGATGAACTATACACAACAGGTATATGAGTCTTAGGCCAAAAAAAAAATATGTGAGTTTACTGTCACATGCTCAAAAAAAATAGGGTCGGTAGGTCGGATTGTTTTTTTTTATTAGCTGTTTCTCGTCAAAATAAGCTACATACAGAGAAACAGAAGAGACACTATAATGGTGCACGTGCTTGTCTATCAGCTAGTTTTCTGGCATTGTTGTTTAATCTGTAAATACCAGTATCCGTGACTGAAAAGGCGGGAATTTTCTGGAATTTCAGAAAATTGCCGATAAAGTTGGGGTCGCAGCAATAAATGAGGGTTGGTCAGGTGACCGTAAACACACATATTTTTTTTTTGGCCTTATGAGAAGATTGAAATTTTATTTACTTTAAAGTGCTTTTAAGTTACAAAGGAAGGATATTGACTCTCTTATGTTTTAATAGTGACAGTTTATAGTTAGTGAAATGATAGTACATGTAGTAACCTAGTATATATGTCAAAATTTTATGAGTGTACTGAGGTACAGTTAATGTTTATACAAGTATGTATGTGTGTACAATAAACAATGCATATCCTGAATTAAATCATGTCACTTTCCTCTGATTGAGACACCTTTTTTATACGACCCAGAAATTTTTGTGGTGTATAATGTTATGACGTTGTCAGTGTTGTCATCAGAAGACATTTAATTTGATTTCCAGACAATAACTTGAGAATAAGTGTACATGTATGGATCTCTATGAAATTGTACCACAAGGTTCCATACCACAAAAGGAAGGTTGGGATTGATTTTGGTGGTTATTGTCCTAACTGTTTAGCTATTAGGGGCCAAAAACAAGCATTGTTCATGTTTCATGACATTACTTGTGTACAAGTGTATGGATTTTTTATGAATCTGTCCAAATAGGGGACCACAAGTAAAGTTTGTTTAATTTCAACAAAAATTGAATATATGGGGTTCTTTGATATGTTGAATCTAACCTTGAATTGGGACCATGTAATCAAATTAGTCCACATACAGGTCCAAAGGGTCCAAAATTCAACTTTGTTTGATTTCATCAAAAATTAAATTCTTGGTGTTCTTTGATAAGCTGAATCTAACCGTGTTTTTAGATTTTGGATATTGGACCATAATACCCGGTAGGTAAAAGTCCCATTTCAAAATTTTCAATTCTTTGACCACATTCACTCTGTGTCAGAAACCTATGATGTGTCAAATTTTAAATCACAATACAAATTCAGAGCTGTATCAAGCTTGAATTTAGTGTCCATACTTGACCCAACTGTTCAGGGTTTGACCTCTGCTGTCGTATCAAGCTGCACCCCACGAAGCGTTTTATTTATAATTCATGTTAAAAGGAAATCGCATCTTGACATATATTGTTCATGCAACTGTCATGTCTGTGAATCTTACAGCAGTGTGCTGTCATTTTGAAGTAAATTCACTACTGTAATTTAGAAATTGCATAACTTTTCCCTTAGGCTTTATTCCGTAAGGAATAGATACACTAGTGTTATTATATTGGTATGACGTTGGCGTCGTCGTCGTCCGAAGACACTTTGGTTTTCGCACTCTTTGATATGTTGAATCTAACCTTGAATTGGGGCCATGTAATCAAATTAGTCCACATACAGGTCCAAAGGGTCCAAAATTCAACTTTGTTTGATTTCATCAAAAATTAGATTCTTGGTGTTCTTTGATAAGCTGAATATAACCGTGTTTTTAGATTTTGGATATTGGACCATAATACCCGGTAGGTAAAAGTCCCATTTCAAAATTTTCAATTCTTTGACCACATTCACTCTGTGTCAGAAACCTATGATGTGTCAAATTTTTAGTCACAATACCAATTCAGAGCTGTATCAAGCTTGAATTTAGTGTCCATACTTGACCCAACTGTTCAGGGTTTGACCTCTGCTGTCGTATCAAGCTGCACCCCACGAAGCGTTTTATTTATAATTCATGTTAAAAGGAAATCGCATCTTGACATATATTGTTCATGCAACTGTCATGTCTGTGAATCTTACAGCAGTGTGCTGTCATTTTGAAGTAAATTCACTACTGTAATTTAGAAATTGCATAACTTTTCCCTTAGGCTTTATTCCGTAAGGAATAGATACACTAGTGTTATTATATTGGTATGACGTTGGCGTCGTCGTCGTCCGAAGACACTTTGGTTTTCGCACTCTAACTTTAGTTTAAGTGAATGGATCTCTATGAAACTTTACCATAAGGTTCAATACCACAAAAGGAAGGTTGGGATTGATTTTGGGTGTTATGGTACCAACAGTTATTGAATTAGGGGCCAAAAATAAGCATTTTTGTAACTTCCAGACATAACTTGTGTGTTAGTGTATGGATCTCTCTGACATTGTACCACAAGGTTCCATATCACAAAGGGAATGCTGGGATTGATTTTGGGGGTAATTGCCTCAAAATTTTAGGAATTAGGGGCAAAAAAAAGGGTAAAAAAACAAGCATTTTTCTAGTTTCATGACAATAACTTGTGTGTAAGTGTATGGATCTTTCTGAAATGGTACTACAAGGTTCCATATCACAAAGGGAAAGCTGGAATTGAGTTTGGGGGTAATTGCCCAAAACGTGTAGGAATAAGGGGCCAAAAATAAGCATTTTTCTAGTTTCCAGACAATAACTTGTGTTCAAGTGTAAGGATCTCTCTGAAAT